GTTTGCCTTGAGACAAACAGGCCCTGGCCGGCCTGAAAGGCCACTTTGAGTTGGAACTCAAGAGATCTGCTTGCCTCTGCCTTCCAGTGCTGGAAGTGTGCGTCACCATACCCAACCTTTTACTTTAAATACTTATGTTAACAAATTTCTCATAAAGTTTGGTTCCTTCTCCAAAAGTCACCTGACCCTCCTCCAGAGGGAAAAGAAGTCATGGACAAGTAAGTTAGGAGATTCCACTGGGCCACTCACTCACCTTGAGGAGTCGGAAGATCAGCCTTTGCTGCATCTTAGAAAGAACAGGAAATCCCTTCTTGTTGGTTAGGAAAATGCTGGTGGGGAGGATGGCTGCTTTGATGGGCTCTCCAAGCCAGCGGTCAATGACGTGATTAGATGGGAGGTCAGCCCCAATTTCAAGAGCTACACAAACAAGAAAAAGGCCTATCACCTGCTGTTAGGCAGGCAGCCCTGTCTTACTGGGTACAAGCGTTTTCCTTCTGTTGAAAACTGGTGGTTGAGCCCAGGGAAAGCAGCCAAAATACCCAGTACACACACAGAACTCATTTCTTTGTCCCCTTTTTCAGACAGGTTCTCACTGTATAGTCTTGGATGGCTTCGAACTCACAGAGCTCCACCTCTCGTTTGGGGATTAAAGGTGCATGAAAATAGAATGGTCAGTGCTAGTTCTATTTTCAGAGTGGGTCTCAAGTAGCCCAGTAAGTACTGAAACTTCCTGTGAACTTCTGATACTCCTAAGTGCTGGGATTTCAGGCATGTGCCATTACTCATGTGTGCTATGGATCTTACTTAGGGCTTCATGTATACAGGCAAGCCAAGTGCTCTGCCAATTGCCTTACATCATCCCCCCCCCAAATTGTTGATCTTCCTTTTTTTTTTTTTTTAGATTTATAGATTCTCTTTATTTATGTGCATGTATGTGCAGTTACCCATGGAGGCCAGAAGAAGTCATCAAATCCTCGGGAGCCAGAGTAAATATGCAGTTGTGAGCCCATCAATGTGGGTGCTGGTATCTGAACTCTGGTCCTCACAATAGAGCTCTCAACTGAGCCATTGCTCCAGGCCTGAAATTACTGGATTTTTTGTTTGTTTGTTCTGAGACAGGGTTTCTCTGTGTAACAGCCCTAGCTATCCTAGAACTACTAGCTCTGTAGATCATATTGGCCTTGAACCCACAGGTATCTGCCTACCTCTGCTTCTCAAGTTCCTGTATTATTAAAGGCTGGAACTACCACCACCTGGCTGTTTTTGTTTTAAAACAAAACAACCACAGTCTCTCTATGTAGCCCTGACTGTTCTGGAACTTTCTAAACTGAAATTCTTATTTTTGGTTTTTGTTTTCCAAGACAGGGTCACTCTGTGTAGCCTTGGCTGTCCTGGAACTCTGTAAACCAGCCTGGCCGCAAACCCATAGAGATCTGTCTGCCTCTGCCTCCCAAGTGCTGGGATTAAAGGCGTGTACCACCACCACCGATTGGCTATTTGGGGGTTTTGCTTTGTTTTGTGAGATAGAGTCTGTCTACATAATTCTGGCCATCCTCGAACTCACTAAGTAGACCAGGCTAGCCTTGAATTCAAAAAGATCTACTGGACTCTGATTCCCAAGCCCTGGGATGAAAAGTGGTGGGCCACCGCACCCAGCCTGCTGATTCTTACTCTTACGGGGTTCCTCCTATCCCAGGACCCTTGTGCACTTACCTACTGCAATTCTCTTGCTATAATCACACAGAGTCCTGAAGTTATGCCACCTGCCCAGATTCAGAAACAAAACACTGTCAAATGCATATGGCTTATGACTCAAGGAGCTCTTCTACCAGTTCCTCAATATTCCTTACCCCACCCCATACAGGTAAAGCGCCAAGAGGAGACATACCACATCCACGTCTTCTCTTCCCCACTGTACTCCTCTGTGTGTGTAGTTGGGACATTCTCAATGACATCATCTCTCAGGTCCTCTGGAGCCACCAAGGGCACCCTCATCCAGAACTGCATATGAACAGTTACCATTAGTTAGAACACTGTTTTCAACTAATTGGGTCCAGAAAGCTTCCCTCAAAAGATCTTGATCCAGATCTCAAGTTAATCTCTTTATATGCCCTTCTGAATTTGATTACATCCGTGTTTAATATCTTATACACATCCTTATGCAAATACCTCCCTTGTCTTTTATTTTAGCTAGAAACAAGCATTTTCTATGATTTGGCATTGTTTTATAGTGCTAAGACTCTTACCCAGAGGCTCATGTATGTTAGGCAAGTGATTACCACTGAGCTGCACCTCTAAGCCCATAGATTCTGCTTGAAGCTCTCTCCATGCCACTTCAAAATTGGGGGTTGGGTGGGATGGGCAGTACTGACATTTCAATTCGGCCAAAAGCACTGGGGCATAACTAGGCAAAAGTCACTTCACACAGCTGACTATCATGATACTCAGCAGCACAGAAGCCTACCATGGAAGAGTGGTGGCCAGTATGGATGTGGTTGGTCAAAACTCTGGCCAGGTTTGTGTTATCTTCCTGATTCAGGGGCAACAGAAAAGCTGGAAGACCCAGATATGCCCCGAAATTCAGCTCCTGTAACATAGCCTGAAACACATGGAAAGAAAAAGCCATTAAGAACTAGGAACCAAATACTTCCTGGGTAGAGAGGAGTTTAAACTGGATCTGGTATTGTGGCCCAGGCTGTCAGGAATTCCCTATGTAACTCAATTTGGCCTTGAATTGGAGGCAATCCTCCTCACTCAGCCTCCACAGTCCTGGAACCCAGCTTTGTAGACCAGGCTGGCCTCGAACTTAGAGATCCGCCTGCCTCTGCCTCCCAAGTGCTGGGATTAAATGCGGATGCCACTACTGCTCAGTTATTTTTGTCTTTTTGAGACAGGGTCTGTCTACATAGTCCTGACTATCCTAGAACTATGTAGACCAGGCTAGTCTTGAACTCAAACTATTTTTTTTTTTTTTTGTTTTGAAGAGGGCAACAGGATCATATGCTCACTTCAGCAGCACATACATTAAAACTGGAATGAAATAGGGTCTTAGTATGTAGCCCTGACAGGCCGGGAACTCTCTCTCTGTAGACCAAGCTGGCATCCAACTCAGTTCGAGGATGGCCTCTGCTGAGTTACAGATGTGAGTCACCACACCCAGGGTCAGACTCTTAACTGTACTCTGATTTACCAGGTTCTGGGGAGTGGGAGTTACTCTCCTAACCCAATTTGATGACAGAACTAATTTCTTTCCTTTTTTCCCACCCTCCTTTTCTTTTCTGGCTTGGAACTCTCAATCCTCCCTCATTATCTTCCGGTGTGGAATGCCTCCCCAACACTGAGGTTACAGGTAGGGGTGGGTCACAGCACCTAGGTCAGACCTAGGTCAGAGCCAGGCGTTGGTGGCGCAGGCCTTTAATCCCAGCACTTGGGAGGCAGAGGCAGTCGGATCTCTGTGAATTCAAGGCCAGCCTGATCTCCAAAGCGAGTGCCAGGATAGGCTCCAAAGCTACACAGAGAAACCCTGTCTCGAAAAAAAAACCAAAAAAAAAAAAAAAAAGGACCCCCACAGAAAAACCAAACAGCCTTACCGCTTCAGAGTTCCTTCGGATCCTCTCCACTTTGGAGTCTGGACGAATCCACGGAGAAAGCTTTCCCACAATTAGCGTATTCCAGTCTGCACTCCCCCACCCAAGAAAAGACAAAGACTCAATGAGGTCTGGCATTTTCTTGCTCAATTTCTAGTTCTCAGCAGGAAATAGAGTAGAGATGAAAACAAGCCTTTTTCTCTCAGATACAGGGATAGCCTGAAGAATGGGGGAGTTACCTATATCACAGGGGTTAGCCAGTACAACCAAGTCAGAAAAGGAGGGAATTGAAGACCTATAAAGCAGAAGTTATTACTGCCTCTAACAATCAAGGGGCACACGGGATGGTCCCTACCCCTTCCTGACAGCAGTAGGTCTGATCGTGTCTGGGGGCCAGGTCGATTCTTAGCAGGTTCCTGAGTGAACTCCCTCTTGAAACGCGGGTGGAAGACAGGCATGCAGAGGAAATCAAACCTACAACCGCGACAGACTCAGAATTATCATGGAAAGTGAGGACCCAGAGATCAACCAACTGGGTTTAAACTATCTTGATTTTGCACAGTTCTATAAAGCCATCAGTCACCCCCCGGGGCTACTGAGTTCAGCCCATCTTGGGACATTTAACTTTCTCTGCACTGTGCATCAATTTCTTCCCAAAACATAGCCATGAAAGATGACTGAGAAAAGAAGGACATCCAAGGCAAATAGCATTCTTTCTTCCCTGATAACACTGGCTTTCCAGGGCTATCAAATCCAGATTTGTCCCAATACTGCCATGCCTCCCCCAGCCAGATTAACCTCTTCTCTCGTTTGCCCCCTTAAAATACTTCTTTCTCCTCTCAAATAATCTTAGCCTCCAAGGCCCTAGACGGACTGACTCGCGTCCCGCCTTTAATTTACCCAACAACTCCCCTGACTTTTGAACTCGGTGACCACACGCCTCCCAGAGTTTCATCCTCTCGTTCCTGGAACCGAAGTCGTCCCCACTCAAGGAGTAATGGTGTCTCCAGCCCTCATCCCCTGCGGGGAACTAGTCTGCCCTCCTTGGTCCCCAATTTGGATCCCGCATTCCTCACCCCTGCTTGGCCACAGCACCCAGTGTGTCAGCTATTTCGGGGACGCAATTCAGGTCCCTCCCGCTGGACACGCGGCTGCCACCGGCACCTCCGACTGCCATCGCCGCCATCTTTTCCCTCGCGCGGCCCACGCCGGGATTCCTTGCTACTAGGGACCAATCACAACGCCGAGAGCAGTCCCCGGGAGGCGGGACAAGTCGCCTTAACAACCAGAGCGTCTTCGCAGCTCCCGAGCGGAGGCGGAGGGACCGAGCGGCCGCTCCCGCCAATCCACAGGCCGCACCGTGACGTAGGCGTGGCTCCCCGGCTCGACCAATGACAGGCCGTCACTGCTGAGGCTCTGCAATCTCCCAGAATGCCGCATCCGTCTGAAGCACTCCGGAGAAAGACTACAGGTCCCATGCAACCCTGCAGTTAGCCTGAAGTACTATCATTGGGCTACCACAAAATGTCTGCGGGCCAGTGGCGCAATGGATAACGCGTCTGACTACGGATCAGAAGATTCCAGGTTCGACTCCTGGCTGGCTCGTTGGGACTGGTACTCCTTTATTTGCATCCCTTGCTAACCCAGTGTTCCTAAACCCCACTAGTCCTGTAACGTTTTGCTCTTGTCTCACAACCGCTGTACTTCCTTCACTATCTGCTTACGCTGTCATTTCCAGGTCTTAACCTGGTTCGGTATTTCAGCCATCCCATGCTGGCGTGTCTCATTCCTCTTTTCAAAGCTGTTTCTTGTATAATTAAGTGAATCTGAGCATGAAAATTTCGGTGAATGGACTATTAAGATGAGCTTTGTCTCATTACTATGCTTAAAAAATACTACACTTAAAAAATACTCTGTAGTAACTTAGCCACTAATTCCTAGTGATTCTGTCTCAAGCACAGATGTAAAGAAACACCTGCCCGCGCGCGCACCCCTCAGAGAAAAGGAATTCATGAGCGATTACAGTGCCCAGGAGTCATGAAACTGCCTCGCGGAGGGCCGAGAGAACCTACGTTTCCCCCTGTCAACAGCTGGAAAAGAAGGAAATGGCACAGGCAAGGAAGAACCTCGGAAGGGAACGGGAAACACGTACCTGAGGCAAGAAGCCCACAGACGTTGAGGACCCTCCAGGCCAATCTGTGGAGGCATTTTCTCAGCTGAAGTTCCCTCTGCCTTGTGTCAGCTTTGACAAAACAAACAAACAAACAAATAAACAAAAAAGTTAAAAGGCACTGACAGAATTCAGGGACTCGGTAGCAAGGAACCGGGAGGGGGAAATAGTAATGCCACGCAGCAGCGTTTTGCCCTTGAAGTGGGAGAGTTCAGGGAGAATCGGATTTGGGGTTCGGGGTGCAGACTGGCCATCCAGAGAGCGCCGTGTGATAGAGAGCTGCAGGGACAATGATCTGAACCACACGTATTTGGACGTTTCCAGACAGGAGTCTTGACTAGTGAGGTCACCATGGATTATGGAGGACAGTGCTCTTAGCAACACAGGAAGGCGTGGAGAAAATAGGCTCTAAGGAACCCTGGGTAACGTAAGTCCCCCCCACCCCGCACCCCAAGAACAGCCAGGAAACCAGAAAACCAAGAAAATTCACAATGAGGGGTTGAGGATGCTTTTGTACCACCACCACCACCCACCCATCACACCAACAACAGCAACCCATCACACCACCTTCACCACCACCACCACCAACCCATCACACCACCTTCACCAACAACAACAACCCATCACACCACCACCACCATCACACCACCCCACCACCCCCACCAACAACC